TTGCAATAAAAAAATCCGCAGCGTGCAGAAGTTTTATTAACCTGTCTAGAAAGAGAGTTCTTTCATAGGAGAGCAGTTACTATACTTACATTATTTGATTCTAAAAACCAGTTCGTTTTCAAAGAATTAAGGCAATTTGCAATAAAATTTAAATAGGAATCATTGAAATAGGAAGGTAACAAGTATGGACACTAATAATACAGCAAAAAAAGGGTAATACACAAAACAATCAAACATTACAACAAACAAACATTACATTTACCTTTGAGGTACCTAGCAAACAAGGCAAAATAAATGCAATGAAATACAACAAAATAAGATTTAAAAAGGCTACATTCCACTTTTCCTGTAAATAGTGGACAAATTAAACACTGTTTTTATTAAAGATCGTTTCTTCATGTGAAAACTTTTATACCATTTATAAACGGGTAAGAATATAATTCCACAGGCATTCCTTCAGATACTCTGATGCAGCAGTCCTTTATATTTGTTCACTCAAAGCTGATTTGAATCCATGTAAAATTTGAAAAAAAAAAAAACAAAAAAAAAACCAAATGGCCTATTTTCAACTATGAGCTCTCAATTGGACTTTTAACAGAGGCCAGTAGTCAACTCAAAACATTCTTCTGTAAAGAGGTTATATTGTTTTTTTTCTCCTAACAGGAGAGAATTTCTGTTCAGAACAATGCAAGGGTAAGTGCTATCTTAGTAACCACAACTTTATAGAAGCTTAATCATATTGGCACTGTTTCTCTGAGGTAGGTGAAGAATTCTATTCTCTTGCTAGAAAAGAGCATTTTCTATTGCAGGTTATAATGAATATTTGTTTTAAAGATAATTACAGGCAGCAGGTGGCTCAGCGGTTTAGCGCCACCTTCAGCCCAGGGCGTGATCCTGGAGACCCGGGATGGAGTCCCACATCCAGCTCCCTGCAGGGAGCCTGCTTTTCCCTCTGCCTGGGTCTGTGTCTCTCATGAATAAATAAATAAAATCTTAAAAAAAAAAAATAAAGATAATCATGCCTACTTTAAGGAAATTGACTGAATTAGTCCACTAGATGTTGAGTATATTCTCTATCTGACTACTGTAGCATTAGTTCAACATAAGGATTTTTGTTTTGGCACTACTATTGTTTAGTGTTTTTTTTTGTTTGTTTTTGGTGGGGTTTGTTTTTTTTTTTTTTTTTTTTTGGCTGTAAAGATACAACAGTTTCTCTTCACTCCTGAGATTGTTCCTGAATCCTGAAAGTTAATTCATGCCACCAGCACAGACTTAATGATCTTCCTATTTGCTGTCACAGCATTAGATATCTATCAGGCACATCTAAAAGTATTACTAAACAAGAAGTGGGAAAAGAAGCAGGGCAATGACAAAGCCTTACTATATTCCTTTTGATACTAAACAAGCTGTTCCTTCAGATGAAAAGTGCCACCTATGCTTTTCATAAATGTGAATGAAATTTGCTAAGTTTTAAACAGCAACATGGAATTTTTCCCTAGTTCTTAAGATTGTTCTATTCTTGTTGCATCAAGTTGACAGTTTAAATAACTGCTATGAGGGATCCCTGGGTGGCGCAGCGGTTTGGCGCCTGCCTTTGGCTCAGGGGGCGATCCTGGAGATCCAGGATCGAGTCCCACATCGGGCTCCCAGTGCATGGAGCCTGCTTCTCCCTCTGCCTGTGTCTTTGCCTCTCTATCATAAATAAATTTAAAAAAAAATAAAAAAAAACCTGCTATGAAATGCCTCATAATCTTGGCTGTTTTTAGAGACAAAATATACAACATACATTGATAGAATGAGCTACTGTAAAGTACATTTTCTCATGCAAGAAGTCGAGACTATAGAAAGGTTTTCATGGGACATCTAACAAACCATAATTTGTTTCAATAATTTGAAGATAAAGGTTTTCCCCCTTCTGCAAAATCAGTCAGACTATATACTTTGTATCATTTTAAGGCCAATAGCCTTGAAGAGATAAAAATTGAGATGGGGGGGGGGACATGCAGGATAGGATCTCAAACTTTTTTTTTCCCCCCGATTCAGAGTGATCAAATAAATTACAGCAAAAAGTAGTAAAATATCCCAAACAGGTCAGGTTCTGAACACTTCAAAGTTATTTTGGCAAAAAGTAATAAATACAAGATAAATAATCCTTCAATTTTTCACTAGTCGTCTGTACTCTACAGCATTCTACATTCTATAGAAACTTGAGGCTGACTTAATCATCATTAACTTAAGCAAGTATGTCTAATACTTTTTACATTAAAAAAAAGGAAGAAAAAAAAAAGGAAGTTGCTTACAAGGAGATAATGAACTTAAATTTCTCCTGAGGTCTGCTTAAGATGTCATCTTTGCTAAGTTTGTGAGGAGATTTTTTTGTTTTTAATTCCTGGGGAAAGGTATAGGAAAACTTTTTGAGGAACTAACTAGAAAATGTTAGTCTCTGGGTCTTTGTCACACACACAGGGTGTTCAAATTGCATTCCTACTGTGCGTGGTGTATACACAAACATACCAAATATACAAATTCAAAAAATCCAATAAAATTCACCACACACAAATGCAATTAAAAAATTTAAGACTGCATGAATTGCACAAGGGAATAATTTTTTTATCCAAAATTTTGTATAGTTTAAATTTATGGCTTGGAAAAATAAAAATGAACTCCAAAGCAAATCAAGTGAGAGTTAAGTTTATACCTAGTAGTCCAGTGTCTGTGTCGTCTTCAGTCTTTAAATTCTCAGCATGTAACTCTGTAAATACAAAAAAAAGGGGGGGCTTGAGTATAAACGATTTTACAATTTAAATAGAAGCTCAAAGCCTGGAAAAATATCGTGGAGCTGTGGAAAGTGCTCTGGAGTCAGAAACAAAAGGGTCCACACGCGAATCCGCTACTAGGTATGCGGCCCTCCGAGGGAAATCAAGTCCGTCGGGGCGCATCGCCGCAGTAACCAGGCTTCTTGGAGTCGCTGTGAAAAAACCCGGAGTCTGTGTTGGTCTCCTCCCTGCACCCGACGTGGGGCTCACTCAACCTCGAGATAGCGGCGCTCCCGCGCGGCCAGGTGCCCTGCGCGCGCCTTCTGCGATGCTGTCGCGCGGCCTACAAGGGCCCCTTCCTCCGTCCTCAAGGGACCCAAGCCCAGGTCGCAAGGGTCGTGACCTGAGGGATCCACCTGCCGCGGGGCTGCACCGGCAAGGAGCCCGGCGCCCACGTCTGCACCGCGGCTCGCGCCCCGCGTCCTCGCTCAGGGAGGGGTTCCCGGGAGCCGCCCGCCGGCCCGCGGGCGCCTGGAGCGCGGGCGGACACTGCAGCGGGGGGGGCGGGTTACTTCCACGTAGAGAACGAAGGCCGACGCCGGGGCGCCGAGCGCGCGGATCTCCGTCGGCCGCGGCCCGAGCCTTCCCGCCGGATCGCACACCGCGCGCACATCCTCTGTTCCCACCTGGCGGCTGTCTAACCTCACACTCGACGAAACAGAACTAATGGCCGGAGAAACGAGAGGTGGTCTGGCCGCGACAGACACCACCGCACGTCGGCCGAGAGCCACGGACTCCATCTCTAAGAGCAGAGCCCCGGGCTGTGGGGCGGCGGCCCGGCCGTCCGAGCGCGCGCGGCACCGGCGCCGCCTCAGCGCCGCCGCCTCAGCCGCCGCCTCAGCGCCGCCGCCTCAGCCACCGCCTCCACGGCGCCGCCGGCCAGCCGGTCCCACCGCGGCGTCCGCAGGCCGCCCAAGCACCCACCTGAGGCGGCGCTTGCCCACCTCCGGCCTCCCACCTCGGGCGCGGCCCTGCCCGTTCGGGAAACACACCGCAAGGGACGGGTGGGCGAGGCCGGGCGGGGGGGGCGGGGGGGCGGGGGGCGCGCGTCAGTACCTTTCACCACCAGGTAGGCGATGGCGAGGAGGAAGGCGACGAGGACGGCGAACAGCAGCGAGCACAGGATCGACAGCACCCGCACCGGCCGGCGCCGCGCCGCGCCCTGGCCGCCCGCCGCCAACACGCCGTTGCGCTTCTCCGGCAGGACCGGAGAGCCGCCCCCGCCCCGCCCCCGCCCCCGCGGAGCAGCGGGCGCTCCGCGGGCTCCGACGACGCCCCGGCCGAGAACTCCGCCCGCAGGTCGCGGGCCACCGGGTCGCACCCGTCCTCCTCGTCCTCTTCCGCGTCCCCCCACCCGCCCCCCGCGGGGAAGGCGAAGGCCGGCCGGGCGGACGCGGCCGGGGTGCCGGGACGTCGGCGCAGCGCAGGCAGGCGCCTCCCGGTCTCCAAGAACGACATGGCGGGAAAGGCCGCCGCGCCCGCGGAGGGCGAGACTCCCCCCCGGCCCCGCCCCCACCCCCGCCCCGCGCCAGCAGCAGCCAATCAGCGGCCGGGCCCCGCCCCCGCGCCCACCACCGGCGAGGCGGCGCGGGGGTGCGCGTCCGGGCGCGGAAGGCGCTGCGCTGCCTAAGACGAGGCGGGGCGCCCGCGGGCCCGGGCGCGACCCCAGCTTGGGGGGCAGGACGGCAAGCGGACGAGCACCCGGAGAGCGCCGAGCCGGGCCCGAAGGGAGCCAGGTCCCCGCCCCCCGCGGGGTGTCGTCCCGGCCAGAGACCCCCGCCCCCGCCGCGTCACCTCCAGGCGCGCGCGCCCCGCCGCCCCGAGGCCGCGTCCCGCCGGCGCCCGGTCCTAGCGCCCGCCCGGCTACGGCCCCCTTCCTCCGCCGCACGCCCCGCGCCTCCCGGGCCCCCCTCCCTCCCGGCCGCTCGCCGCCCCTCGCTCCCCTTCTCATTGTTCTCCCCGCCCCTATCACAACTTGCCTCCGCGCCGCCCGACACGCCTCCGCCCCGCCCCCTCCGCCTCGGCGCGGGCTCTCCAGCTGGTGCGTCCGGAGCTCGATCCCTCGCCTCCTCCCCGCCCCTCCTCCTCCGCCGGCAGCGCGCGCCCCGCCCCGGCCCCGCTACCGCTACGAGTCGCGTATACCCCCCCCCCCTCCCCGGGCAGCCTCAGGTTTGTGGGGCGTACGGCACTCGGGCGGAGGGGGTGAAGGTGGCAGGCGCGCTGCCCCGCCCCCTGCGGGGTGAGGCGGTCTGAGCTCGGGAGGCTGGGACGCGGTTGTCCTCCCTCCCCCGGGGAAAGTTGGTGGAGTTTTCCCGGCGGAGGCGCAGAAACTTCCTCCGTCCCCCTTCCCCCTCCATGCAGGCGACGCCGAGCGAGGCTGAGGCTGGGGGCCAATCGCCGCAGAGCTGCGTGTCGGAGGCGCACTCTGATTGGACAGCGGGGAAGCCCGTCAGCCTGTTGGCCCCGCTGGTCTCGCCCCGCAGCGCAGGGCAGCCTTTAACCTTTGGCCCCGGCGGGCGCCAGCCACTCAGATCGCTGCTTGTTGGTATGTGCAGCGGCAGTGGCCGCCGGCGGAGCAGTCTGAGCCCGACGATGAGGCCGGGGACGGGAGCCGAGCGTGGAGGCCTCATGGTGAGTGAGGCGGCGAGCCGCCCTCCGGCGCGGGGTCCCGGGGACGTGGAGCGGGGGCTGTCGGGCCGCAGCGCCCGGGCCCCTCCCGGCGGCCCCCCGAGGAGACGGCCCGCGGCGAGGCGTCGGCGGAGCGGGGCGAAGCGGCACAATGAGACGCGGAGTCAGAGGCCGGCGGCCGGTCCCGAGGGGCAGAGGCCGGGAGCGCGCGGCGGCGCTCGGGGCGGCGGGCTCCGGGGCTGGGGCGGGGCGCGGCGCGGGGGCGCGGAGGCGAACCCGGACGTCCCCGCGGCTGGGCCTCGGCCTCGGCCTGGGCGGCGGCGGCGGCGGCGCTGGGCCTCGGGCGGTGGAGCCCCGGAGAGCCGGGCCCGCCGCCGCCCGCAGCCCCCGCCCGCAGCCCCCGCCCGCGCCCCCGCCCGCGGAGGGCTTCCTCACGGGAGTGAGCGGCCTGCGCCGGGCTCCGGGCCGCCCCGGGTGGGTCCTCCCCGAGCCGAGGAGCGTGGTCTGCGGTGCGGGTTCTGAGGGACGCACCCGCGCTCGACGTCGGGCGTCCTTGGGGACCCTGGCCTCGCTCGCCTCTCCCGGAGGCCGCGCTCCTCACGGTGAAGTCGGCGAATCCTCGCTTCAAAGTGTGAAGTCAGCGTGGAGCCGGGTCCGGGAACGGTTACTGTTCGGGCGCTGCCTACCTTGTACCCGTGAGGAACAACAAAGTCGTGGCTCCCGGACCTGCCCCTGCGCGGCGCCGGCTGTTAACGCGCTGCAGCAGCCTGCTTCGGAAATGAAATCTGTGTTCTCTTTGCCCAGTGATTATTTTAATTTTTTCTCCGATTACTTTGTGATTCGGCCGGTGGCGAGCCCGTGTAAGTTCCGGTGGGAGGTGCATTTTGTTTAAGAAAAAAAAGTACAAGGCAACCCGGTGATGGGGCCTCAGTTGGCCTGATGCTGAGCCAGTCTGTGCGCGTAGCCCGCTTGTGCGATCAGGTTTTTGAGAAGCGTTCATCGTCCCTTGCTCGCTCTCACGTGTCCCTTGTTTTCCAGATGGGCCACCCTGGCATGCATTATGCCCCGATGGGCATGCACCCCATGGGCCAGAGAGCCAACATGCCTCCTGTACCTCACGGAATGATGCCGCAAATGATGCCCCCTATGGGAGGGCCGCCAATGGGACAAGTAAGGATGCTCCTGTTTCGTTTTGTCTTCGGTTGTCGTTGTGTCAAGATTTTCAAGACCTGGGTCAATACTTGCAGCTATTTAAGGATTAGTTTATGCCAAAATAATATTGTCGAATAAGTCAAATGCTGAGTCTAATCAAATTTTGAAAGTAAGGAAAAAGCCTTCCGTGTTAAAGATTTATTTTCTACCACAGCAGAACTAAGAGTTCTCTTTTTAAGTAGCTGTATATGTAGTCTTTTTAGTGTCATGACTTTATTTTTCCAAATAGGTCAATTGAAGTTAAATGTTTGAAGAGTGATTATTATTTTATAGGTCAACGTATTTTATGTCTGTGGACCACATAGATGCATAGAATCTAAAAATAGCAATTGCTTACGCCTTTACCTTAGAGTAAAGTTTATTCCTGAAATAACTTCCTCTTGTGTGTGTGTGTGTGTGTGTGTGTGTGTGTGTGTGCCCGCGCGCGTGCGCGCACTCGGTGGGGGTAGAGCAGGGAGGTTCTACTCTGATTTGATTCTTCATAGGACAGTGCCATATAGGGGGTTCATTTTCCACTTAAACTGTTTGGTTTTTGTTTTGTTTTAAATGCTTATTGCTTCTGCACTCCTGCTTTTGAGCTGTCCCTTTCATCTCCAGCATAAATGTAAATGGACATTTTGTGGGAGTGATTTGGAACAAAAGGTTTTAATGCTGACTCAGTGAATTCAGTAGAACTGAGTTCCTAGAGAAGCATCCAAGAAAGGTAACAGGTTCAGTTACCATGAATAATTTCATGCTCCCTGTCAGGTTCTGTAATACATAGACTCTTTGGTGGCTGAGTTCTTTCCATTTGAGTATCTCAATAAATCATCAAAAATTTAGGCTAGTAAAATATTTTGGAAAGTCAGTCAATTAGGTATGGTCTTTCTGCTAATTAATACTGTTTGTGTTGATAATCAGTTAAGCCTTGATATTTTAAGTTATTGGTGAAATTGTAGTGGAGAAAGGAGCTTACTTTGTGTCTTTCTCTTTTAACCTTAGGAGTAGAAGGGCTTAATGTCAAGTGATTTTCTTCTTTTTAATTTGAAATATAGCCCTTAATTTTGTATAAAAATCTTTATTCAAAGACACCAGGCCCAAAAGATTCTGCCTGTAGGAATTGAGTGGTTTTTTTTTTTTTGTTTTTTTTTTTTGTTTTTTTATAAAAGAACCATTTATTCTGTTGTTCTGGAATAACACAAGTTTTAAAACTCCCTTAGATGATGGAGAAACAACTCTGATTCCTCTTCTGTTTCTTTCCATCTCTAAGCAGCAAGGAGCTCTTCTGGTTTTCTTAGTAGAGCTGCTCTAACTAGATAATGAGCTTTAAAAAATATTTATTCTTTAAATGCTCTGGTTCTTATTTAAAATTAGTTTCTTTCCACAGAAAGATAAAATAAAACAATTTGCTACTGCCAGATGCTTCTCTCTTTTCTGGGGCCTTCTGTTTCCATTGGGCCAATCAAGGTAAGTTTTGCAAGGGATTGACCTGCTTACCCTTGCTGTAATGGTGCTATTGCACTACCAAACCAAGACACCAGCTAGTCATTTCTAGTACAATGCAGATTTTATTTATTTTTTTTAAGTACTTTTGTGTATTTCATTGGCATAAGCTGGTCACAGTTTGTTTATGGCCCTTTCTCTTTAGCTGTATCAGTGATCATCGTCCTAGTAAGGTTACTTGATATTTGTTACACATCCATTCAAATACTCTTAATTTTACCTTGAGATTTTCTTCTTTTTTTCTAGACCAGTGTATGCCATGTACCTTTAAGTTATACCTATTTAGATGTTTAAAAGTCTCTCCCTGTCAGCTCCTGTTAGGAGAATGAATGAACGACTTAAGGGTCCAGCTCTTTTAGGGTCCCAAGAGAATCCCCACTGTTTTTCCTTAAAATTAGATACTTCTTTTGTCTTCTTAATCTCTTAAATGGGGCCCAAATCTTGGTAAAAGTAATTCTTTATTTGAGCTTTCGTAACAGACTGGGAGGGCATGGATAATTTAAATACTCAAGTAATCTAGAATTCTAATTTAAAGCTCAGTAAATAACTACCTTAAAAATAAAAGTTGACAGCACAGTACTCACTCAGAGGTGTTAATGGTCAGAAGTTCATGAGAGACAGCAGGGTGCCTGTGAATGACACAGTTCAGTGCAGGGACACAAAGTTGGTAGGGTTCTGCCGTTCAATTTTAAAAAGTTAAAAAGTCAGTTTACAAATTTTTTAAGAGTTTGGTCCTGAGGGTGATGGAAACTTAATGTATGTTGCCTACTTCACATTAATATCTCATTCTGGGACCAGCCGAAAATGAAAATTGGTGCTAGTCTTACTCGCTAAGTGCTTCTGGTGTTTGGAATGTTATATGGGCACAGCAGGAAATTTTAAAACTTGTTTGTAAGATAATATGCAGACTGGACAGAATTAACCTTTAGGAGCCAGAAGTCATAATTTTTCAAATGAAAAAGTTATTTAGATTAAAAGAGTACTAGGTTTTCTGAAGGGTTTTGTTTGTTTTTATTTATTTATTTATTTTTGTACTTATTCAGGAGATTGACTACAGTGCCCTTTATAGGATTCAGGTTGAATCTGTTATTACTGAAAAATAGATTTCATCTCAATTATCTATGACATAGGTTACATTTGCTTCTTACTGTACGTTAACTTCATATGGGAAAGTTGTCCTAGTTTTACAGGATTATAGACTCTTATAGTTGGAAGGGACTGAAAGTTGCATGGACTTTAATATGGAAATTAAATAATGCTTTATCACTGGTTAAAAAAACTGTTAGTAATATTTTCCCTACTTGGTGGGAATACTCAAAAATTTGCAGTAGAGATTTGCCTTAAGATGTGATTGTATGTGAGGCCATTTTCCACTTACATGGTCAGTAATGTTTTTCTTTTAAAATATTATCACCTCTTACAAATTTTTGTTGTACTTTCTACACAAAGGACATGCAAGTCCTACCTTTATCACAGGTGATTTTGCCCTCATTAAAATCCTAAGAAAGTCCTCCTAGTTGGCTCTTTGTTTTTTTTGTTTTGTTTTGTTTTGTTTTTTTCATTTTTAATTTTTCTTTAAATGAGAAAAGTGGAGTAAAAGCCGTAAGGTCTCTTTCAGCTCTAACAACCTATGATTCAATTCAGGTCATTTGATGAGAAGAGTAGGTGATATGTATGAGATTTTATGGGTTGATATGTACTTAAAAACAAAATTCTTTAGTAATGCCTTCCTAATTCTAATTATTCAGTACTCTTTTTGCCTTTGTTCAGTAAGTTTGTAAATGAATGCTTTTCACAAATGAGTTTGATTTTCTTGTTCTTACATTGAGTAAGGCAGGCTTTAACAGATCTTGAGTCTATTCCTGCTGCCATCTGGACCCAAGTAGTATATACTGCCATGCCCAGGATACTCTTGACAAGCTTTGAGCTGGTTTTCTTGCTTCAAGCCTCCCCCCCTCAGATTCTTTTAGAGTTCAGCATGTTGTCTCCTTGCCCAAGAGCCTCCAGTGCTTTTCTGTACCTATGGTATAATGTCTAAATTCCACACTTTATAACTTTCAAGAATCTCCCAGGTCCAACTAAGTGCATGAGTCTGAGCTGCATGCCTTCACACTCCCTAATTTGAACCCAGGCTGTTTTCTCTATCTTGAGTGATTGTATCAGTTCATGACTGAGCTCATGCTGTTCGTGTCCTCCTGTCCACAGCTCACTGCCACCATGAACTTTCCTTTACTTATCTAAGTTCTACCATTTCAAGTTTTGCCTTCCTCCGGAGATCCTCAGTAATAACTTTGCCCAACATATACTTTCCCTTCAAATTATTAAAATAAAATCCTATGTAATTTGCCTGTAACTCTGTTGCACTTATTTGGGATTTATTTTTGTTTTATGGTGTATTTGCTCTTTCCAGCATGTAATAGACTGTAAGCTCTTAGAGGGCAGGGCCTATGTTTTGTACTTTTTAAGAAGTCCACAGGTGCTGAGCACAGTTCTCAGCACAGCATGGATGCTCAGTAAAATACTTGTTGAATGAATGAAACAAAAACATACTCTTTCCCACTTTATAGGCCATGAAGATAGATGTTACATGTGACTATTTTCAGTGGTTACTTGTGACTTTACACTGTTACAACTTAATTCTTATTTTTAGTGTTTGTCTCTCTAGTTTTTTCATTTGATAAAAATGGAAGATAAAATGTAATAATTTTTGGTGAATAAAGCAAAAGTACGTATTTCCATTTATTTTTAAATAATAGACAACTATGTTTCTATCTGTTTGATTTTAGTGATGGTCTTTTTTAAAGAAGTTTTACCACAAACTTTTGCATACCCTCAGGAAAAATGATGATTTGGAATATAGGCCTTCCAGAGAAATCCAAAGTGTTGGTATCCTAGATTTATCTGACTGATTTTGACCAATTAATTTGTTCCTGTTACTTTTAAGTGACCTTTATTTTGGGCATTTACAGAATCCATGCCATTGAATTGGGTATTAGTAAGTGACAAAAAGGCTTTTTTTCCCATTAGGTTATTTGTTCATAATCTTGAATCTCAGTAACTTTCTGTGTACATTTATGTTACCCAGGCAAGTATTTTTTAAAAAATAGATTGACCCAGACCTAGGTGCGTATAACTTCTCGGCTGTGTATGTAGTTAGATGTTGATAGATTTACTAATGATACTATTTTTTTTTTAGGTAGCATTTCAGTTACATATGAACTCATCTATTTAAAAACTTTAGCTAGAGTAATGTTTCAGAGTATGGAGAGTATTTGGAGAGATGTAAGAAGACAATGTAAGTGTGGAAGAATGGAGTGTACTCCTCTCCTTTGAGATTCACAGGACACAGTGTTTCCTAAAGCTGCTGGGAAGTCTTGCAGAAGCCTTTTAAAACTATTTTTCTCAGTGTTTCTTGATTTTTGGGCTTTTTTTAGCCATCTTCCCCTCCTCCACTTCCCCAGGTTCCCCTTCCCCCC